GCTTTAAAAAACTGTCTTTGCTTGCTAGTGAAAGGAAAGCAGGGAGGGAATCAGCCTAGCTTCTCATGGAAGAAAGTTCCAGAGGATGGGAGCAGCCATCGAAAAGCCTCTCTCTCTCTTGTGTCTTCACCAGGTGAGCCTATGATGGTGGTATGACCAAGAGGAAGCCTTCCCTTGATGATCTTCAAGCTCTGGCAGATTCATAAGGGGAAATGTGGTTTGGAAAGGAAGAGGACAGAAGCTCTTTGGAGAAAGCTGCAGCACAGTTTGTTCTACACTTATGGCAACTCTAAAGGAAACCTATCACAGCGTTTTCTGGGGCTGAGAGTGTGTGACTCACCCAAGTCTATTTCCATGGCCAAGCAGGGAACTGATCTCCAGAGCTATAGTTCAACACACAAACCACTACACCATGGCGGCTTAGAAACTAGCCTAAGACAATGGTTAGGCTCAACTATTAATGTTTGTTATTTCAAATAATCCTTCCAATACACTACCAGGTAAGTTACTAGGTACAAATACTGTAACTGACAGCTGGTCAGGAATCCCTATTCACATTATGCATCTCATCATGCTATTTTAGACTTCTTTGTTACTGAGCATGTAAATCATTCCAGGAAAAGTGCTGCAGGAAGACTGCACAGATTATTCTCTTTGGGAGCTCCTAATCACTTCTACTAGAATTAAGTATAATTCAGTTGACATTCTTCCAGTAGCAAGAAGAGGACTGTTTAATAGTATTATTCTGTGAGCATTAAAAAGATTTCTACTACCTATCAACTTCTAGTTTACCTTAATTTACATTAGGGCCATTTGACAAATCACACGTTAATAGTGCATGCCTCATACGCATAAGGTGTTCACTATAAAATATGAGAAGAAATGGTATTACACACACTCCCAGAGCAATCTTTACATGATTTAATTGTCACAGTTAGCTTCTTTATAGATCAGATTGAGACAGCAGTTCTATGAACACTCAAGAGTAATCTCTGTTGAACATAGTGGAATGTCAGCTGTCGCTGAAGCAGTCCTAAAACATACAAGCAGTCTTCAATATAGTATATATACCGTACTGAAACAAGATTTTCTAGATCTGGGACATGAATACAAAAAGAGAGGTATTTGTCAGTTTTAATACAACCAATTAATACAACTATTCAATTTGAACTCTCATTTAAGTAACTACTAAATATGTTCAGTGAATATTTGTAACTTCCCACAGGTAGACCCAGGCATATTATGCATGAAAGGGAACTTGAATTTTGCCTTAGTGTAGTTGCAAAACCAGACAGGCATCAATAGCAAGAGCAGTATAAGTACCCACCCAGCCAGTACATTTACTAGTTTGATACTGTGGAGTATTTATCAGTTTTAATACAACTATTCAATTTGAACTAAATTGAATTTAAGTATTGTAACTACTACCGTAAATATGTTCAGTAAATATTTATAATTTCCCACAGGTAAACCCAGGCATATAATGCATGGAAAGGAACTTGAATTTTGCCCTGGTATAGTTGCAAAACCAGACAGGCATCAGTAGCATAAGTATCCACCCAGCAAGTATATTTGCCAGTTTAACACTGTGGAGCCCACTTCAAATGAACAGGAATTTGAACTCACCATTTAGAATACTGGCAGGAATGCACTCCAATTTACATTTTATGTAACCTGTAATTCTACTTTAAAATTCTCTCCAGTTCAGTCCTTAATCTCCTCTTGGCAACATTCACACTTTACTCTCTTATTAGAAGAATTTGTACAGAGAAAAACTGTATACTGACAGCACAATAAAGCAGCAGGATCACTTCCACCTCCACACATTTGATTTTACATGGAAATGCTGCATGGCTCTATTCATTTCCAGGCATTGAACTGGCTTTTTCATTTCTCAGCAAACCAATTTTCCAAACAATTTTATTCGCCAAGCAATAATTTGGCCCTAACTTGTCGTTAGCACAACAGCTAATGCCAAGCCTTACTAGCTAAAATGGAAAATCTAATAGGATTGGGCTAAGCGTACCGTCAGCAATGCCCACATTTCCACACTGGAAGGCATCATGTCTGCACATTTCCCTTAGTTTTCAGGTATAAGGACATCACAGCACACAACAGGCACACAGTCACCATTAGGAACACATGTATTAATAGTAGCATGACCTCACTGCTTTTTTTGTACACTCAATGTACAATTAGAGATCGCAGTGTCTTTTTGTTTCGTGCTCTTGCAATCAGTCATAATCAACTTAATAATTGAAAAATGGCTCATACAAAGAGTAATAAAGAACATGCTATAAATAGAGTAAGTTAGGTACTTATTGTAATTCTATGGTACAATCATACTCTCAAGAACATAACACCAGTCTGAAAAACAAAAAGAAGTAGTCAGAAGCACAATCAGGATTTCTAAGGTGAAAAGTGTTGCAGATTTAAAATTGGAAAATCTTGTGCCTTCATCCCTTAATACTTTCCAAATCCTTGCTATAATGTGACTTAGTGAAAATATTAATGTTACAAAAAACAAATCAGTTTGTGCCAATTTGAAAACAAAAGCCTAATGACTATTTAGAGGTCATGAATATTGTGGTAATCCATTTGCAAGACATTTTCAGGTGATTTATTTAAGCCATTCAATGCCTGACAGAGAACGCTCTACAGATGAAAAAGTGCATTGCAGTGTAAAGGTTACAGAACTTAGGATTTTATCACACGGGGAAAATTGGAAGTTTAAACGGTGATTATTCCATGAAAATCGTGCATTCACGATTAAGGTTTTCACATGACTTCATGATTAAAGTGCTATTATCCCAGGAATAACAAGGCAATAAACAGCAACAAATCATTCACAGGGAAATCCTGTGGCTCTTTAAAAATCTTAATTGCAATCTTAATGATCTTAACTATCTTAATTGTGATTGGGCAATTTTGAAGGGATAATCACCATTTAAACGTGGTTTATCTGGGTGCATCTGTGTGTTTTTGACCATCATGTTGCATGATGGCATTTAAATTTCTTCCCATGTGGAAATTTCTTTCCAACTTTTCAGGGGGACGGGGAGGTCTCCAAGACTGTATCCAAATGGGTTGTTTAGCATGCTGCAAAGTGAAGCACCAACCTACAGAGCAAGGATGAGTAATGCGTAGTCCTCCACATTTTATTGGAGTGCAACTTCCATCAGGCAGCATAGGCAATGGTGAGGAATGCTAGAAGTTGCAGTCTTACAACATCAGGAGGCCACACTTTGTCCATTCCTTCTCTTGATCATTTTTGGCAACTAAAAATGGTGGCCAGCTCCAAGGAGTGCTTTATTTTAAAACATGGCAGACACCAAAGGAGGGGGGAAAAGGGGAACAGGAAATATAAGCTGGAAAAAAGCAAGTGAGGAGTTCTGCTGGTGTGCTTTGCCCTTTTTTAGTGAGTTATACATATAAGTACTACACTTGACCTCAGCCAAAAGGGTGAGAAGTGATGCTTCGGGGAAAGCATGGTGTGGATGTTTGCCTTAAGATATTTTTTGTGTGTTATACATTTTCCTCCCCTGGATTGTTATTCTGTAGGAGAACGTGGTTTATCTGGGTACATCTCTGTGTGTTTTGGACCATCATGTTGCATGATGGCATCCATGACACTTAATATCCAAATGTTCCCATGAATCAAAAAGGGCTGGGGACCTTTTTACATGTCTTATTTCCTGCATGGACCTTATCCCACGCTGCTCTCAAAAGTGGCAAGAAAGCGATATAAGCATCATTGCAGTACTATAGCGCTAGTATAAATATGGCGCTAGCGCTATAATAGCGCTATGGATAAGCTCGCGCTATTGCAATGCCCGCTGAAACCGACATTCAAAAGAATGCGATTGATGTTGCATTCTGAGCGGTTTCTTGGTGGATTCTGAGCGACGTCGTGTAATCACACGGGAAACTATAGCGTTATAGCGCCTGATTCTTAGTGGATTCTGAGCGACGTCGTGTAATCACACGGAACACTATAGCGCTATAGCGCCTGATTCTTAGCGGATTCTGAGCGACGTCGTGTAATCACACGGAACACTATAGCGCTATAGCGCCTGATTCTTAGTGGATTCTTGCTGCTTTTGGCCCCGTGGGATAAGGTCCCATGTCTTATTTCCTGCTTCCAAGCTGGCAGGGGATAAAATAATGGCTTACTGGTGCTTTCTTATCCAAATCTCCAAGAAGAATTTCTTATTATCATGTTAGAGATTTCAGATAGCTGTTGAAGAACAGATACCTCTCATTAATTTCAAGCAGGACACTGCCTTAAGGAAGTCAGCAAGATCAGAACAGGCTTGATACGATGTGATAAACTGGAGAAGAAACATAAGAACTCCAGTTAGGAAATGAAGATAAAAGCACAGCTGGTCAGCACACGAGAGACTGATTTATTTATTGTAACTAGCCTGACTGGGGAACATACATATACTTTCCAGGAACAAGAAATAAAACTTAGGGCCTTTGCAGACTGCCAGAAATAGTGCAAATTGAGTCCACTTTAAGGGTTAGGGAATCATGGGAAGTGTATTTTATTGTGGCACCAGAGCTCCTTGACAGAGAAGGCTCAATGTCTCAGGAAAAACAACACTTCCCATGATTCCCTAGCACTAACCCTAACCCTAAAAGTGGACTCAATTTGCACTATTTCTGGCAGTCTGCAAAGGCCCTTAGTTAATCCGGACTTCAGAAAGGAATCAAGGTCAGCATCTGTGAGCGAGAGGAAGTAGTCAAAGAAACCATCTGGAAATTTAAAACCAGAAAGTGAAAAAGCAATGCCCAATTTTCAAGTAGAAACATGTTGTAGGATTATTATGTTGTAATCATGTAGGATTATTATGTTGTAATAATGAGAATCTGAGAGCAAAAATGCTATTACATGTTGTCATGTATAAGAGAGACAGTGTGGCCTAGTGGTCTGAATGCTGGACTATGACTCTGGAAACCAAGGTTCGATTCCCAGCTCAGCCATGAAACCCACTGGGTGACCTTGGGCAAGTCACACTCTCTCAGCCTCTTCTTTTTCAACAAGCGAAAGCAATGGGATGTCGTTTCCGGGGGCCTATGTACGGGGAGCTCTTTGCAAAACTACGTATCACCTAGAGCTCATGGGTTCTATTCAGGCTGACTGGTTCTGTAGTAAGCAACATTCCTTTTCAGTTATTTTCAGTTAAACTCCTGCGCTCCTGTCTCTCCCTGGCTTCCACTCCCCCATAAGTATCTGAAGAAGTAGACTAAAGTCCACAAAAGCTCATTTTACAAACTTCTTTTTTTCAATTAATCTCAAAGGTGCTACAAAATCTCTATTATACCACTCTTCAGCCACAAGGGCTCTCTGAGCGGCTTACAAATTATTAATTAGACAGTTTCCTGCCCTCAGGCTTACAATCTAAAAATGAACTCGTCTTTCCCTTCAAGTCGTTTTTGACTAATAGTGACCGTAAGACTAAGCTCTATCACAAGGGTTTTTTTGGCAAGCGTCTTCAGAAGGGGTTTGCCATTGCCCTCCCCTGAGGCTGAGAGAGTGTGCCTTGCCCATGACTACCCAGTTTAGCAATAGTAATAGCAAGTACATTTCTATACCCCTAATCATATTAATTTAGTTTTAAGGGGTGGGAGGGTTGGATTTGGGATAAGGAATGTTTTAAAATGTATGTATTTATTATTGCTGTTCCCCGCCTCGATTGCGATGCAGAGAGGCGGGTTATAAATAAAATTTTATTATTATTATTATTATTATTATCAGTACACTTAAGTATTCCCTAAGCAGTTTACAACTGTAAGCTGGGCACTCATTTTAGCAACCTACAGAAGAATGCAAGACTGAGTCGACCTCGAGCCCCTGGCTGGGATCGAACTCACAACCTTGTGCATTTAACCACTGCGCTACCAGGGCTCTCACTTTAACTGCCATGGGTCAGTGCTATAGAATTTTGGGAAACGTAGTTTTGTGAAGCATTTCGCCTTCCCTGTCAGAAGAGAACAAATTAAAGTTCCCAGAATGCAATAGAAATGAACCATGGAAGTTAAAGTGGGGCCAAATTGGATTATTTCTGCAGGGTTTCCACGGCTGAGCCGGGATTCGAACGCGGGTCTCGCAGCGTCTTAGTCCAACGCTCTAACCACTACGCCACACTGGAACTGGAAGCCCGCCCCCTTTTCTTCGGCTAAAAGACTATAAAGGCGAACTAAGAAACCAACGGAAAACCAACCGTCTCCCTCCCCCCGCAAACTCAACGTTCGGACCCACTCTCGAGACTCCCCGACTTACCCGCCAGCGAGTTCTACGCGTTCCTATTGGCCCGCCGGCGTGAGATCACGTGCAGAGGGAAACGGGAGGGGGGCAGAAAAGGAGGAGAAGAAACCGGAAGAAAACCAACCTGAGGTAGTAGCTCCTCCCCTTTTTCTTTCCCCGCCTCCGCCCCTTCCCATTTCCTTTTTTTCCCCCTCCCTTCAACCCACCCAATAAGATCGCGTACAAGTCCAGAGAATCAACAGTTGCTGGGTGGGTCGGTGAGTGTTTGTTAGTTTAATGCGCATGCGTGGCGCAACGGAAGGCGGGCCATGCGAAAGCGGATGGGTCCGTTGAGCGAACTGGGCGAGGCGCGAGACGGTTGAGCGCGCGCGCGAGAGAGAGGGAGGCGGACGGGGAGGGAGGCAGCGCGCGTGCGCGTGAGGCGGCGGTTGGTGGTGGAGGAGGAGGAGGAGGCGGCGAACCGTCTGAGGCGCTTGGCTGCCTTGTCGGGTGGAGGAGGAGAGGAAAGAGGCATAAGAAGGAGGCTTATTGCTCCGCTCCGCCCCAGACGGAGGAAGTGGGAGCCCAGAAGACGACGACGAGGAGGAGGCCGTTTGCGTTTCCTCAGCTTCCCTTCCCTTCCTCCATTGGCCGTGCGGGCGACCAAACTCAGTATCTAGGTAATTGTGTGCCTCCGAGTCGTTTCTGACTTATGGCGGACCTATCGTGGGGTTTTCTAGGCAAAATTGCTTCAGAGGGTTTGTTCTTGGGACGCCTTATTTCCTCTTGTGGCCCTGAGGAGGCTCTAAAAGGAGCTTTTTTTTCCTGAGGGGGACAACAGCCCCCAACCTCACTTTTTAAAAAATAGGGTGAAAAATTGTGCCCTGGGCTGCTGTTTTGCTGGTAGCATCAGTATCATCACATGGCATAATAGTCACAGTTGTGTGCCTCTCGTTTTTATTATTTATTTATTATTATTGTTTTGGATAGTTTTTTTTCCCCCCCTCAGGAAAAAGCTCAGAGCTGCCTCAGGTTTTCTACACTTGACTCCACTTTACAGTAATTCTGGTGGAGTTCCTTCCTAAAGAAACAGGCGTGGTTGAGTCATAAGAGGAAATGGGCCAAGTTTTTTTGGAGGAGAGGGAAGGAGAAGGTTTCAAAAGAATTCATAGTTTGAATAATTCATTCTTTTTCTCTGTGTGTCTCATCCGTTTCTTTCTCTCCCTCCCATTCAACAGGTCTTGAATGGTCCCAGAAGACTCTTTTTACCCAAGTCTTTAGGAGGATGGACGTTCTGTACAACCTTGGAGTATCAGACGTTGTTTTCCATGAAGGAGAAAGTGGGAAAGGAGGCGTGCACCTGAAATGCTACAGAAAAGCCGGGCTGAATAAGTCCTCTTGAGGCAGGGTTTTGAGACAACCAACCTTCCCTCTTGTTGCTCAGCACAAGTATCCGGGCCCCAAGTCTTGGGTACTTCTTTCATCAGTAAAACTGTTAGGAGTCTGTGGTAGTGTGCCATTAGTAGACTTTTCCGAGAAAGTCTTTTGAAGCCTTGCCCTGAGCTGCTGTGTAGTTATTATGAGCAAGAAACTAATATTAATCATGTGACTCAGATTACAGAAGCTGGTGTGAGAAACTTCAAAGAGCTTGCTTGTTGGTCTTAGCTTTTCCTCCTGATACTGGTTTATTATATGCTGACTTTAAAAACTCAGGTGAAAAATTGTGCCCTTGACTGTCTTTTGCTGGTAGCATCAGTATCATCACATGACATAATAGTCACAGTTGTGTGCCTTTCATTTTTATTATTTATTTTTTATTTTTTGGATCATAAAGCAAGGAAGAGATAAAGCATTTTCGAAAGACCCAGGGTGCTGTGTGTTTAATCTCTGGCACCATTTGGGGGGAATTTTTGATATAGTTAAAAGCAAAGATGTCGTTCTTTAACTTTCGTAAGATCTTCAAATTGGGAGGTGAAAAAAAGAAGAAACAGTATGAGCATGTCAAAAGGGACCTGAATCCAGAGGACTACTGGGAAATTATTGGAGAGCTGGGTGATGGTGCTTTTGGCAAAGTATTCAAGGTAAAACAACAACAACATGTGATTGTCCTGAAATACATTTGAACATTACTGTTCTTTAGAGTTTGTGGATTAACTCACTATATTAGTGTTGATCTGTTTGTGTAACAAAGGCGTTATCTTTCTTGCCCTGACCAGTTATTGTGTCAAACTGACATTGTTATAAATGGAAAGAGTGGAAGTTATGGGAGAGAGTATCAACTTAATTTTTTTTTCTAAATGGGGGGGGCTCTTAATAAAATACTGGGTTTCTACAGCCTCAGTGAGTGCATCACTAGCATTTCTTTATTGGGCATTCTATTAATCAGTTTGGCTTTTCTTTTCCCTGACACAACAGTGTTCTAAACTGTAGAGATCAACAGTATACTAATAAAAGCAAACACTAAAAAGAATAGCAGTATGTTGCCTTTTGAGTTTCAGTAATCATTTATTGCTGATTAATGACGTATGGGAAATGCATGTAATATCTTTAAAAAGAAAACAATATTTTAAGGCATGCGCTCATCAGAAGAGCAGACTTATACTGTGACATCGTAGAACTTAAGGAACTTGAGGAAAGTGCATAAGCATTGATGAAAAATATAATTTCCATGCATAAGTCTTTTTATCAGTAGTGTTCTTCATTTTGGTAGATGTGCAACATAGTTGTAATTATGTCTAAGCCAAGTCCTGGTGGGAAAATGTTAATGTGTGCTTAGAGTTGTGTAAAAACTCGTCCAAGTTTATGGAGAAAAAAAAGGTTTTTGTAATGGCATCTGCTTCAGCACCTGCCATTTTCTGTGGATGGTGCTTATCTGGAAACTGAGAGAAGTGTTCCAAGGTACTTCAGAATAGTAATTTATCACTAAATCAAGTGTTTCTAATGCTATAGTCATATATACTGGTTTCTTACTTGGAAATGGTTGTATTGGGCTGAGGAATCAACATAGTTAGTATTGCAGTGTACAGTTTAATGTGTTATGCCAATTGTGTTTCTACAATAATGCAGACATTCTTTGAAAAATCTGTCAAATTAGCAAAAGCAGTTATGGGTTAATTAATTTATTTTGGGCTACTCATTCTTTCTGTACATAAGGAAGTATTTTCTTTGAATATTTGCTGCTGCTAATAATAACTTTTTCTACTAAAGGTTGAGTCTGCCTTATTCAAAATGCTTGGGACCAGAAATATTTTGGATTTGGGGAGTGGGGGTGGATTCTGGAATACCTGTATTTGCGTATATGTACATAATGAGATATCTTGGAGAAGGGACCCAAGCCTACGCATAAAATTCATTTAGGGGGTTTGCAGACTGCCAGAAATAGTGCAAATTGAGTCCACTTTTAGGGTTAGGGAATCATGGGAACTGTATTTTATTGAGGCACCAGAGCTCTCTGACAGAGAAGACTCAATGTCTCAGAAAAAATACAGTTCCCATGATTCCCTAGCACTAACCATAACCCTAAAAGTGGATTTAATTTGCACTATTTCTGGCAATCTGCAACCCCAATTAGGCTTCATATGTGCCTTACATACACAGCCTAAAGATAATTTTATATAATAGTTTTTTAAAAAAAATGTTTGTATACGCTGAACCATCAGAAAACAAAGGTATCACTGTCTCAGCTGTCCATGAAAAAAGTTTTGGTTTTCAGAATATTTTGGATTCTGGATAAGGGAGACTCAACCTGTATGGTAACTTTGGGAAGCAGAACATAACCATAATTTTGTCGTTCTTTATTCATGTTTATTTTCTGTAACTGAACATGAATATGAATAATGTGCCCAATAGACATACCATAGAAAAGCATTTTGATATCATAGCTGATCTAAAATGCTGTTTTAGAATGATGAACAGAACTAGTTGGGTAGAAAATAGATTTCCACTACTAGTCAATCTTAGGTGCCTGTTTATTTCTTAATTTTTCATATCCCTAGGTTGCTTTTGAAATTTCATCCCATTATATATCATAAGGTCCCTAGCGAAGCTGGCATTCCTTGGCGATTTTGTGAAAGCAATGGAAGAATAAAGCAGACTCAACCAGCACAAATGGATGAGTTGTGATCTCAGAACTTAGCTGGCACCCAAAAACTCGGTGCATAACCAAATTTCCTTGTCTTCTCTGTTCCCACATGGGAATGGTGAAGGAGGAACAAGGTGGACTTAATTAATGTTTTGAAGACTCAGCTAAACCCAGTCAGTTTCATTTTGTCCTCCCTTTTCCTGTTTGCTGAAACAAAAGAAGGATCAGAGCAGATCAAGTAGCTGGCTGAGTCCCCATCTAAATTGATTCTTAGTGCTCCCGCTGAGTGCACAGCTAACTTCACTCCATCACCTTCTACTTAGTGTTCCCTGTGGCTGCTGCCACACTGCAGAATTAATGTAGTTTGATGCCACTTTAACTGCCATGGCTCCATGCTATGGAATCCTGGGATTTGTACTTTGTTGTGGCACCAGATCTGTAATCTCAGACTGTTTTAAGACCATTTATTTCCTGACTGTTGCAGTACAGTGGTACCTCTACTTACGAAATTAATTCGTTCCAGCAGACATTTCTTAAATAAAAAATTTTGTAAGTAGAAGCAAATTTAACATTGAAAAACCCTAATCCGTTCCAGGC